CTCTTATTAACAAGAATGTTTTGCCCAAATAAACAGTGTTTCTTTTTATGATTTTGGCTGCATGATAAGATTCTACTCTTTTTTATTTATTAACCCACTCTAGCTACAATTTGGCTGCAATTCAAAATTTTTTGTTCCACTTAAATATTAGAATATTACTAAAACAGCTTATATGGATGGACAAATAAACAGCATAGTTGATCACTAACAAAGTCAACAAGCTGTTCAACTAAACTTCAAGATTTGATTTGAATGAAATAACAATGCAACTACTGGGTCATTGCAGTTCTGTTTTTCTTTATTGCTAATCAAATCAAAAGGAATGGTTGTTTCTACCTTAAATATTGTTTGATTGCTAAAAATAATTATTAATAATTAATAAAATTAAATTAATACTAATTATTTAATAAATTAAAAATAAAATTAATGTTTAGTTCAAAAGGAATTGTTCATTATTGAGAAGAAGAATTAATTACTTGATTGATATGTGAATCTGATTTTTATTTTTATAAAATTTTGAATTGAAAGAGTAAATGGATATTTTTCTACATATACCATTATAATACTACAAGAACCAATATATAACTTGTTCTTGAATCAATTAAAAAAAAAGTGATAAATCAAATTTTAATTATGAAAAAATTAAGGAAAGATATAACAAAAATTAAAATCTTATTCATTTTATTTCCAACATATTACTAATAGAAGCACTATTTTTTGTTAAGGGGGAAGTGAAGAGAGGGATCTTGGGTTCAATAATTGAACTCGTGAGTCGTGAGCAGGGCCAAGGGGTGTGCCCGACCTGAGGCAAGTGACCCAGGAAATGGTTAATGGATTTAGTGGTGTGTAATTAATTAAATGTGTGACTTAAGCCGTCATTTTTGAACAATTAGAGGGGGTCCCCAGTGGTTGATTAACAGAAATAGAAGAATTATTGGCTCTTAATTAATTTTTCTCAAAGTAATTAGTAGCCTGGTCCTATTCTTCAGCATGCCTTAGGTTGCCACTAACCCATCACCACCAACTAACTTACAAAGTCTGCTATCTGTAATTCAATCTCTACCGTTGTTTTTTTCCTCTTCTTCCTATGGTTTTTTTTTTTTAACATAATTTCATTTCTCTCATTTCTCTCTCCCCTTATCTGACAATAATAATAATAATAATAATAACTTATGTCGGATATAAAAGAATTACGAAAAATTATTTTGATTTGATCGTTTGAATTAAAACTTCATTGACAAAATGGAAATCAAATTCATTAGTGGTTCTCATTTTTACTTTTGAAGGTTGGCAATTTAAAGCTAAGATGCCAAGGAATCATGGTGTTCTCACTCAACAACCATTGAGTTTTAATCTAAAGCCTTTTTGGGTTGCCACGTACAAGTCTAGTTTGACAAAAAAAATTAAAAATTCGTGCCATCTCATGTTGGTTCCATTTTCCACCTACCAAACCATGAGGTTTAAATTCCATGGAAAAGTAGTAGTCTTAAATCAGTGGCTATGGTGCTTTAATTATCTAGAAAAAGAAACTTTTTGGTGGTTGCCTACTTGAAGAGACTCAAAATTAGGCAACTTATGGTGCTTCAAGGAATGCATATGGGCAACATAAGGCAAACACAATTCAGAATGCATTGGGGGGCACTGTCTATGCTATTTGGCAGGAGAGGAATCTTGGGTAGTTACTTTTTTTTAATTTTTTAATATCTAAAAATTATATTAACTTTTAATTAATTTAAAATTAAATTGAATAAAATTTTATATAAAAAAAAAACATCAACATCTATCTCATTATTTACAATATTCAAATTTAAAATTTCTTTTACAAGAATTAAAATTCTTTCCATTTAAACAACACATCATTGGTGGGAATGTTGGGGGAGCAAGTGAAAAAATCCCCTGGAAGTCATTTGCAAATGCATCACATTATGTATTGTCAATTTATCATGACACCTGTCTTATCAATATTTAGAAATCCTTACTAGTTTATTAAAGAGAGGAGTAATGTTCTGCAATACCAGTTATGTCATAAATTTATTATTCATAATTAAGATTTTGTAATTTAATATAATTTAAATTACAAAATATTTGTTTTATTATATTGAATATATTGTACATCTATTTCACTGGCAAATAAAATATATACAGAAACTATATTAATAATTTTAAACATGCGTAAATTTTTTTTTTAAACATTGAAAAATTTGAGGATGGAGAAATCTTATTTTTAAGTAATAAGTAAGAATAAAACTTTGAATTTGTTAGAATTTAAACACTTAGGATTAAACGGTGAACCAATTGACTGTGCAAATATGTGTAATTTTTTTTTTATTAATTTCTCAATATTTAATAATCACATTGAATCTTAATTAATTCAAAATCGAATCGCATTGAATTCTATTAAGGAAAATTTTTTCAGTACTTATTTTTTATTTATAAGACTTAAACTCAAAATTTTATTTTAAAAAAATTAAATTTTTTCCACTCAAATCAACAGATCAATAATTAAATTTGTTTTTATTTTTATTAAGTGTGAATTGGTCCTGACTTCATCCGTGGCAGAAGTACACAACTTTGGTAGATTCACGCATGATGACTACCAAATTAAGATATTTAATGTATTTTTCTGTGATTCATTAGTGACCACTACAACTTAACAGGACTGTAACGGAAGCTTTTGTCAAAAATAAGATATTAATTTAATTTTTAACTTTTAATAATTACCACTCTCAAAAAAAACAAAAACTTTTAATCATTGTCACTCTCAAAAAAAAAAAAAAAAAAAAACTTTTAATCATTGTCACTCTCAAAAAAAAAAAAAAAAAGATATTTAATAATGGTGACGAAAGAGAAAGGAGAAAATAAGGGCAAAAAAGCGGGTTGGTGAGCAATGGGAGAAAGAGGAGGTAGGTAGAGATGGTGCTTGTGTTAGTAGTGGGTGAGAGCTACTCCACTTGTTTTTTTTCTTGAGTCTTCACTATGACACCGGCCCTACCTCCCCCTGCTGACGTCCGTCGGCTGTTCCTCCTGCCCGGCCGTCGCTTTCCTCCATCAACCGCCAGCGCACGCGCTGGATAACGCGTACGGACCTGCCGCTGGGTAGTGTTTATTTTTTATATCAAAGGATTGGCAGACGAAAAGGGGATTGGGAAAATGAGACGTTGGCAATTTCGGTCCAGTGTCACGTGACGTGTCTGCTAGTTTTTTTTTTTCTTTTTTTCTTTTAAAATTTAATTTTAGTTGTACAATTAAATATAAATATCTCTCATCTCTCATCTCTTATTATTTTTCATTCGCAAAGTAAATGTGTAAATAAAAATCTTAATTTTATATTTTTTTTATTTGAAAATGTTAATTTTTTAGTTTCTAAACAAAGATGTTAATTTTTAATTTTTTTTAAATAAAAATATCAATTTTTATATTTTTCTATTTAGAATGTCAACTTTCAACTTTTTCTATATAAAGATTAATTGAATAGTGATGCTGAAGTGGTTAATATATTTTTTTTGGTTAAATATCTAAATTGATCCCTCAACTTTTATTTTTGAACCAATTCATCTTTGAACTTCAGAAAGTACCCAAAATATCCTTCAACTTCAATTTTCAATTTCTTCTTTCCATCAGTTAAATATTGATGTAGCTAATTTTTTCACTAAGTGATTGACAATTTTACATTTTCAATATGAGGTGAAAAATTCATCATGTAAAAGATGATTATGTGGATTTTTTTAATTTTAAATAATTTAAAAACTACTTTAATTCTTAATTTTACTTTATTTATATTTCAAAATTAAAATTATTAATATATTTTCCCATTTAATTAGTCCCACTTACCATTTAATAAAATTAAATAAAAGTTAATTAATTCTTCCATAAATTAGGAAATAATTTTATTAATTGAAAAGTAAAGTTGAAGGACGTTTTGAGTACTTTTTGAAGTTCAAGGATGAGTTGGTTCAAAAATAAAAGTTGAGGGATCAATTCAGGTATTTAATCTAAAAAAATATGTTAGCCACATTAAGATCA